AGAAGAATTTATAACATTAAATTCTTATGTTAGAAAGGAAGAAAATTTCAAATCAGTGATCTAAGTATCCAACTCAAAAAACTAGAAAAAGAAGAACAAATTAAAGCAAGTAGAAGGAAGGGAGTAATAAAGACTAGAACAGAAATTAGTGACATAAAAAACAGATAAACAGTAGAGAAAATCAGTGAAACCAATAATGGATTCTTTGAAAGAAGCAATAAAATTTTTAACCATTAATAAGATTGAACAAGAATAAAAGAGAGAAGACACAAATTATCAATACCCAGAAAAGAGGAGATACTACTATAGATCCATAGACATTAAAAGCTGTAAGGGGAAGTTATGACCAACTTTATGCCAATAAATTTGATCACTTATAGAAAATAGATAAACTCCCCGAAAACCATCAAAGCTCACTCAAGAAGGAATAGATAACCCAAATATTTCTACATCTATTAAAGAAATTGAATTTATAGTTAAAAATCTTCCCTTAAAGAAAACTGCAGGTTAAGTAGGCTTCATTGGTGAATTCTACCAAACATTTAAGGAAGAAATAATAGCAGTACTATAAAAACTTTCAGAAAATAGAAGAGGAGGAAAACATTCCCCAACTCATTTTTGAGACCATTATCTCTTATGAATATAGATGCAAATATCCTCAACAAAGATACTAGCAAACCTAATCCAGTGACATTCAGAAAGGATTATACACGGTGACGAAGTAAGATTCGTTTCAGGAACGTGAGGTTGATTTAACATACAGAAGTCAATTAGTGTAATACAACATGTCAGTAGAATAAAGGACAAAAATCACATGATAATGATAATCTCAGTAGATGCGGAGAAAGCATTTGACAAAGTTCAACACCCTTTCGTAATCAAAACACTCAACAAACTAGGAATAGAAGTTAACATCCTCAACATGATAGAAAGCACCCATGCAAAACCCACATCTAACAGCACATGTAATTGTGAAAGTGTGGATGCTTTCCTCCTAAGATCAGGAATAAGACAAGGATGTCTGCTCTTGCCACTTCTGTTTAACAGAGGTTCTAGCTAGAGCAATTAGGCAAGAAAAAGAAATAAAAAGCATCCAGATTGAAAAGAGAGAAGTAACACTATCTCTATTTGCAGATTAAATGATCCCGTATGCAGAAAATCCTAAGGAATTCACACACAAAAAGCTATTATAACTAATAAACAATTTCAGCAAGGTTATAGGATACAAGGTCAATATACAAGTCACTTTTATTTGTATACACTAGCAATGAGCAAGCTAAAAGTGAAGTTAAGAAAATAATTTCACTTATAGTAGCATCAAAAAGATTAAAATACAGGGGCCAGACCCTTGGCCGAGTGGTTAACACGCTCTGTTTCAGTGGCCCAGGGTTTCGCTGGTTCAGACCCTGGGCACAGACATGGCACCGCTCATCAGGCCATGTTGAGGCGGCGTCCCACACAGCACAACCAGAGGCACTCACAACTAGAATATACGACTATGTGCTGGGAGGCTTCTTTGGGGAGAAGAAGAAGAAGGAAAAAATAAAGAAGATTGGCAACAGTTGTTAGCTCAGGTGCCAATCATTTTTTAATAAAAAAGGTTAAAATACATAGGATAATAAAAAGAAGTGCAAATCTTATACCCTGAAAACCACAAGTCACTGTTGAAAGAAATGAAAGAATACCTAAATAAATAAGACGTCCCATGTTAATGGATCAAGAGACTTAATTTGTTAAGATGGCAATACTCCCCAAATTGATCTATAAATTCAACCCAATTCCTATCAAAATCTCAGCTGCCTCTTTTTGCAGAAATTGACAAGCTGATTCACAAATTAAAATGGAAATGCAAGGGACCAGAAGAGCCAAAACAGTCTTAAAAAAGAACAAAGTTGAAGGACTCACACTACCTGATCTCTAAACTTACTACAGAGCTACAATTATCAAGACAGTGGACACAATTAGTATTCCTGAAAAAGAAAATGGAAAAAAATGGAATAGATAAAAAATACAATTATATAATCAAAGAGAAATTCTTCAACAAAGGAAAACTATATTGAACACTTGCTGTGGACTGTGCCATGTTCTATCCATTCGTTATCTCATTTAGTCCGTAGGACCATGCTAAGGGAAAAGTTCTATTGCCGTCTCCATTCTACCAACGAGAAAACCCAAGTTTAGAGAGGCTGTGACTTGCCCAGAGCAGTGGAGCTGGGCTTTCGACCCAGAATGGCAGCCTGACTCGAGTGCGTCACTCTATACTACAGATCTGAATTTGTAGATTGAGGGTTCATGCTATGTTCCAAGAACTACAGACATGAAATGATGAATGGCAAAACAACTCCTGGTAGATTTTCTAGACGTCAAGGAAAAAAGAATTGCTCTTTGCAGATCACCTACAGGGAGAACAGTAACCTGTCTTCTAAGTTCTTCACAGCAACTTCCATGTTCCAAAGGAGAAAACGTGTGAAATCCAAGAATGTCATACTCAGTCAGGTTTAGAGAAAGAGAGGCAAGAGACAGACATTCTCAACACACAAGAATTCAGAGCCTATAGCATCATGAGCCCTTTTGGGCAATATTCTACCAACCAAGAATTGATTCAAAGTAAAGAATTCAAGAAACAATGACTGCATTTTAACAGAGAACTGATGCAAAACAATTATTGGGTAGAACATGATTGCTAGGAACCTTGGCAATATAAAAATAGTAATATAACAAAAATAGGGGACTGAGGAGAAGCCAGAATAGAAGGTAGTATGAATATGTTAATTTCCTCATGTTTATCATGGGTCAATAAATACTGTATAAAGTTGAGATTTATAGGTAAAAGAGTGACTTTCCCTCTCTGTGTGTCTCTCTCCCCCCCCCCCACCACACACATACACATAGATAACATATATATACACGCATACATACATATAATAAATATAAGATATATTTTTAAGTTTAGAGAGACCTTCTATGGACTATGTGTAAAAAACCACATTTTTCTGATGTTGAGTGATTACTTTGGTCACACTTTAGTTTCTCATGTTAAATTTAATTGAAATTAAGTGTAATGGTTTAAATTTAAAACTAGCATATGTAACACAATCTCAGTTGTTTTTTTCCCGAGGAAGATTAGCCCTGTGCTAACACCTGCCAATCCTCCTCTTTTTGCTGAGGAAGACTGGCCCTGAGCTAACATCCATGCCCATCTTCCTCTACTTTACATGTGGGACGCCTACCACAGCATGGCGTGCCACACGGTGCCGTGTCCGCACATGGGACCCAAACTGGCGAACCTTGGGCCAGTGAAGTGGAATGTGCGCACCTAACTGCTGCACCACCAGGCCGGCCCCAAAATCTGTTTTGGTAAAATGATTTTTATATTTCTCTCCTCTTGATACGTATGTATACAGAGTTATCTGGATTATTGTTCAATAAATGTTAGCTGGTTATTTCTGTGTGGTGGGAATTTTGAGATGATTTTTAATTTTCTTTTTCGTACTGTACTGAGTTGTTTTTTTCTTTAAAATAATCATGGCATTTTTTTTATATTAAAAAACTATTCTCCAAAGCAGATGAAGGATAGTTTTTACAAGTTTCAGTGTTGGACCTCCAAGTCCAGCTCCAGGAAGAGATGTCAAGGAAGTAGTTGGAATATGAGTCTGGAGATACAGAGGGAAGTCTGGACTAGTGATTATAAATTTGGGAGCTGGCAGCATATAGATGATGTTTGAAGCTCGGAGGAATGGATGAGATCATCTTGAGAGCAACTTAGCAAAGAAAGGACAAGTGCCCAGGACTGCACTCTGTATCTCTGACACGTAGAGGATGGGTAGGGAGGAGCCTGCAGTGGAGCCAAAAACGACGGCTCCCAGAGGTAGGAGGAACACCTCCCTCTGAGCACTTGCAGAGCCAAGTCCTTTGTTGGGAAGGAGCCAGGCAGTTTTAATGAGATACTGGGAGGTAGTTCAAATGTAGGAGTTGCCCACCTGGACGTTGCTCCACACCGTCTTGTTCATTGTGTGTACTTTTCTTTTGCCCAAAGCTCGCAAGTTAGAGAACTAGCAATTACTTCAACTCCATTTGGAGAATGATTTCAAGACCGCTAGAGTATTTGGGGTTTGGCTAACAGCTGGATCTTTGAAGAGCTGCTGACTCTCAGCAAATGCGGACAGCATGTTTGGAGAACACTTGTATGGTTTTTAAATGGGCCACAAGAAGCTTGTGTGATAAATGCTTTATTTGGCTTGTGAGTTTAAAGAGAGTGGCCTCTGTAATAGTAGATATGTGTTTATACTTCACCATGACCCACTCAACTTGCAAGTCTTTGTCCTGATTACTTGGCAGTCTTTCTTGCAGAGCTAAAAGTTTAAACCTTTGAAACCTCATTAGCTGTTGACAAGAGGTCGGGTTTTGGGAGAGAGGGAGCTAAGTTTGTTTTTCTCAGCTCTCCCCTTGAGGATAGATGATTGCTGCTCAGACCACAGGCCTCAGCTTTGAAGCCTAGAGAGTTCGCCCTCTCTGGTTAATTCTGGGGCCAGCGCCAATCACGGCACTTCTCAGCTCTTGTCAGAGCTCCTTAAGCTTGCGTAGGGCTGAAGCTGCAGCCTGCTCATCAGTGACCTAGGCCGCTAGTGGATGATGACTGTTTCTGCCCATTGCTGGGACCTGCTTCTGTATCACTCAGCCCCCTGGCAATATCCTGGCAATATCCTGGCAATATCTGGCAGATCTTCTCCACCTCTGATGCTTCTCCTGGCACCCTGCACTCCTCAGCCCTCGGTGCCAGGAGGGCCACGCTTGCCCCTGGGTTGCTTGGTTGCTCCCTGTCTCGTAGAACTCATTCTCTCTGCTTCTCCAATCCTTGTACTTCCACACCAGTGCCCGTGCACTGATGTTTGCAGAAGGAAGTTGATTTTTCGAGCTGTGTGGCACAATTAGAGATAGGGTTTGAAGGAAGTAGGTGTGGATGTGGATCTGATTAGTTTTCCGATTTTCTCCTCTTCTAGGTCATATTTACTAATATTCAAAACAGAAGCCCTAAGCCTGGCCCTGCTCCCCACGATCAAGAACTAGGTTTTTTCCTAGAAACAGGACTTCAGAGAGCCCATGTCCTCTATTTCAAAAATGGGTAAGCCTTCTTCATTTTTTAAATCAATTTCCTAAAGAAGGAAAATAGAAAGCCTTGTAATGCTGTCTTCGGTTTAGTTATCATAATAGAGCAATTTTAAATATGAACTACAATTGAAATATTTTTTTAAAAGAATGAACAGAGGCTCCTTTGTCTCTTCTCCGTCTGGCTCTCTCGCTTTCCCAGGAGATTTGAAGCGGGGAGAAGGGAGGGAGGAGGTCTCCTATGTGAGTACGAGTCACAGGCATGGAGCACCAAGACCAGGTGGGGTGGATCTGATGGGAGCTGTGCTTTACTCTGCCTTCCTCCGTGGGTGTGGGACTGGACAGGCCACACCTCTTTGCTGGGGGAAAAGTTAGTGAATTGGAAACCCTGGCACCCAGGGTCATCTCCCTTTGGATGGCTGATCAGGTCAGAGAATTGGATTTGCCAAGTCTCAGACGGTTCTTATGTAAGTGAGTGTGGCTCTGATGCCACACAAGAACATTTTCTACTTGAACTGCCTTTGAAAAGAGTTTAAGAGCCTGAACATAAGGGATAGCTCTCTAATGCATTTGATGTTTGTTTTCCTTTTCGTGCTGCTCTTATGAGAGATGCAATGGTTCTGTTCCAAATCTCTTCAGCTGTCCCTTGTTTTGACATTGTGCTGCAGGATAGATATGCATGAAGACCAACAGTAGGTATCTGGCTCCTCTGTAGCTCCTCCTAGGTTGTGCACAGGAGGCATTTAGAGGCCCACTCCCCTCCCTCTAGGAGTAGTCAAGTAGTGCTTTGAACGGCAGAGGGTCACGAGTTCCAGCCTTTAGAGAAATGAACGATGGAGTTGCTCCCTCTTCATTTTTAAGAGCTTCAAACCTTGGGGTGTAGCTCGTGGAAGTGGGATTTCATCTGCCTGGTGGCCCAGAGCCACATGTATCCATTTTCCATTTGTTGGGAGTAAATGCTTATTTTCCAAATTGTATTAAACTGTTTGTGGAGAAGGCCTGCTTTGCTCCAAAGGCTACCGGTTCAGATTGGCATAGCCCATGTCAGGCCACAGTGAACACCCTAAGGTTTGAATAGCTTGGCAGCTTTGACATGAAGATGCTCCTGAGTTTGATCTCATCTGCCACTGATTGAGATCATCTGAGCAACGGTGCGTGTCCCCTAAGCTGAATTTTGAGCTCTATTTTCTTCGCTGTTTTAAATAGAGTGAGAAGGGAGGGAATGTGGAATATTTTTCTAGTGACCTGTTTCTTCTCCCTTTTCACAATCAATGGTGGTCATCACAGAGGAGCCTCCAACCTTGCTCTCCCTCCCTCTAACCTGTGAGTGTCTGTGGTTGACATGCAAAGCCAGAGGCAGGAATGAATTCTCCTGGGCTCTCACGCATGCTCAGTACCTTCTACTGAAAATGCTTTGTGTGAAATTGATAGGGGTGAGCTGGGTAACACATTTTCATCTTCAAAGGCTGTTCATTAAGGAGGGAGAAGCAGGACTATTGGACTCTGACCTCCTGCCCTGAACCATTAGCTGCCCACTGGATCCAACTGAAAAATAATAGTGATGAGAGGTTTGTACTAACTGATGGATTACATGCCAGAATTGCTTCCTGGCTCATTTCTCACTTTATTTTACCCAAGTTCAAGGAGATTCCCACTGACATAGCCAAAGTTAAGAGACTGCATAGCTTCGAAGCCTTTTCTCCTCTTTTCTTGTCCTCTCGCTCTTCTCTCTGGGCTCTAAAGACCAGTGATGGGGTTGGGCCAGCTACTCTAGAGGGTTCTTGCCAGCTGCAGTGTTCTAAAGGCTGGCATTGTGCAACAGTGATAAGAGATTACTTTTGGGTAAGTAGAGGGGAAGGCCAGTTTTGAGACCACAAAATATGATGAAAGGAGAGAAACTAGTGGGAGGTTTTAGACAAGGCAAATGCTGTCGGAGCTGCCTGACTTATACCAGTGGGTTACTCAGGGCCCAGGAGCCACACCTGGGGGTAATTGGTCACTGGAGGCCTAACCAGTATCCATGGAGCAAGTGGGACAAGTGGAGGTAGCTGCTGTCCCTAAGCACCGGTGGCTTCTCATAGTTCTGTTCTCTGATATGCTTGCTCCTTTGTCATCTCACTCCTTCTTTGTTTTTCCTGCACTTTTTTTTTGAGGAAGATTAGCCCTGAGCTAACATTCGCCTCCAATCCTCCTCTTTTTGCTGAGGAACATGGGCCCTGAACCAACATCTGTGCCCGTCTTCCTCTACTTTATATGTGAGATGCCTGCCATAGCATGGCCTGAGGAGTGGTGCATATGTCCACACCCAGGATCTGAACTGGCGAACCCTAGGCCGCCAAAGTGGAGCACGTGAGCTTAACCACTGTACCACCAGGCCAGCCCCTTTCTGCACTTTTAAAAATTTATATCTGGAAGGATATAATGGATAAGGTTTGACTGATTTTCAGGGATAAGGAGATGCATTATAGAAGAGTTTGGCAATAAGAGATGGAAATTAATAAGGTGCATCTTTTTCTTTAGAAATAAACATATTCAACTTTTTAGCTGTCATCCCTGAGGACTTAATCAGTTATAGTAATCTATCTTATTCTTTTACAATTCTCCCATCTTTTCCAAGAGTAAGTGCCAAACTGGTGAACTTGGGTCTCTTTCAGAAAGAACCTGACCCCACCAGTTCCTGGGCCCCTCTCAAGCCCTGAGATCCCGGTGGCGCTGTTTACCAAGTGCTTTTAGTTCTTCCTCAGCGAGCCTCACCTCATCTCTTCACCTCCACAGGGCCCTGTGAGGTTGGCAGTGGAAGTGGTACTGCCCCTGGCCTACACACAGTGACCCGGCTGCCGGCTTCTGCCTTCAGCCTTTTTAGCACTGCTGTCGCTCTGTGTGGAGGGGCTTAGTCCGACCCTCAAATGGTGGCCTTGTCCGTTGCCCTGCCTCTCTGTCGGGGAGCACTCGGCCCCTGGACAGCGGTTGCCTGGGGAATGGTTCCTGGCCTCTGCTGATTGGTGTTTATTCCTCAGGTCTCATCTACCGCCTGTCACAAGTCAGCTGTTTCTTGTTCTCCCCCTTCCCCCTCTTCTCTCTCCTCCCCTCCTTTCTTCTCCCTCTGTCCTTCCTCCTTCCTTCCCTCTCCTTGTTGCCCTCTCACTCTCCCTTCTCCCTGGGCCCCTCCTCCCTGCTCCTCTGTTCTCTTTCCTCCTTGGAGGGAGAGAATGACTACCTGCTGCCGTCCAGCCCCAGTGCCCCTGGGCATGGTCTGACTTGGACCCACCCATGTCTATTTCACATCTATTTCTCTTACCCCTCTGGGTGGCAGCAGCAAGCCTGTTAAGGATGAGAAAACATCTTGCTCAGGCTCTGCAGAGGGTGAAATCAGAGAACCGCAGCCTGAGAGGGCCAGGACCGCTGCCTTGGAGGGCTCTCAAATTACCTTGCCTACAGCAGGTACTCGGATGAGGGGCAGCCAAGGGCGTTGGAGCCAGAGGATCTGGATTTGGAACCGGCCCTTCTCCTCCCTGTGTGTCAATTTCTTTATCTGTAAAATAGGGCCAATACCACCTCATGGAGCTATGGTGAGGCGCAAATAAGAAAATGTGTGTGGAAGCATTTCGTGAAGCGTCAGGCCGACAGCAAGTGGTAAATTGTAATTTCCAGTGAGGGTGATGCCCGGCCGCCTTTCTAGCTGGAAGTGGGACCAGATGAAGGTCAGACTCCAGTTAAAGTGGAAGTTCACAAAGCAGGTGCCACTCATTTGATTGCTAAGCCTCGCCCCACCACAGTTTTCCAGAAAAGGCAGTTATTTGTGACTGCTGGTTTAAGTGAGCTCTGCTTAAGATGCATAACAATTAGCCTGGGGAACCCAGATAACCGATGGCCCTGTCAGTGTTCCAGAGAGGGGAGGGGGCTGCTGGTCTGACGCAGTAGCATTGGGTATGCTTTGGGCAGCATAGCTAGGGGCAGAGAAACAGCCTCAGCCTGGGGCTCCCCTCAGCCTTCTAAGGAGAAGAGAAATGTTGCCACCCACTTGAGTCCTTGCAGCCAGAATTGCCAGAGAAGCTTGGGTTTTAGATGCCAATTATTTGCTGCATGTTGTTTTAGGAATATTTAGCCATCTCTTATGAACAGAGGGTAGCAAAGACATTTCAAGTAACCTTGCTTCTTGTCAGCCGTGTCAGATGTACTGGGTGAACAAAATGGATTGCAGTGTGTGTTTTCTCTGGTTCTGAGTTGGTTTTCCTTCAGGGAGGGTGGGGGTAAATTGAAGCAAGAAGGCAAAGGACCATCAATACCTGGGAGATGTGCCTGTGGGGTTGCACTCTCTCCTGCAGTGCGTCACTCAAGCGCATCACAGAGTTCTGCCTGGGAGACCTTGACTTGGAGAAAGTAGGAAGTCAGGCAGTGTGGCCAGACTTTGGGCTCCCCTGAGGTCCTTGCAGCCATGCCAGGGAATAAAGTGGTATCGAGGGCTTTTTGGAGTTCTCCTATAGTCAATCACCACTACATATTGCCTTCAAATAGACTACTAGTCACCACTAAGCATTGGCTTTGAAAAGTGTTTAAACTTCCCCAGTAATCTTGATGCCCTTTGCAACTGTTCAGCTCTGCTCCATGTAGCCTAGAATGAGGAGGCAGAAAAAGGGGCTGTGAGGCCTCCAGTGTGTCCTGCAGGCTGCAGAATAGGATGCTTCCTGGGTTGGTGGCCTCGGAGACAGCAGTAGCAGCAGACAGGCTCCCACAGTCCGTGCGGTCGTGGGGAGGGTGCCGGCTGGGAAGCCAGGGGGTTTTGCTTGAGCACTGGTCTCCCCAGGCATTGGAGCAGCTCAGTCCTGGCCTTTGCATTCTAGCACTCGGGCTATCTTCCCTCGTGCAGGGGCAGGAAGTGTTCACTTTTTAAACTGCACACTGCTTTTTACATTACAAGTCAAATGCGATGAACATAAGAGAATTCAGACACACTTCCACTAAGCATTTAATGTGTATCAACTTTTTGTACATGACATTCTTCGAGAGTCAGAGATT